CATCTCTTTTTCAAATTCTTTTTTTTTCTGCAGAAAATTTGATCCACTGCTAATTAAGCTTGTCAAATCTAATGCTCAACTGGAAGAGGCTGCGAGAAAGAAGCAAGTTCTAGAGAGTGACATCGCCAAGCTCGAAGCGGCATTGACTAGAAGTAATTTTTTTCATTTTCTTATTTTTTATTCACAGCAGTTTTGCGGCAGGGTTAACTTTTCCCACATTAATAATCTGAAAACAGCATCACGAATTGGTCAGTTTGTGTCTAGAAACTGTCGTACAAGGAAACTACCTTTTGGAGTACGAAAATCAGTTCCACTTCTGCGGACTGAATTCTATCTCTGCCACGAACTGGCCAATATGTGTAGATAGACGCCTAATCACGAACATAACACCCCACTTTTGAGGGTGACAATGTGATGCCCAATTTGAAAGCAATGTCAGGGAAACCGGCCATTATTTTCTGCGGCCTTTATATTATGCAGGAAATCGTTCTGGAAAAGCAAGGTTCTACCCAATATTTTTGTGATAGCCTGCAGAAGATCTGAAACAGTTGCCTTTCTTCCTAACTTGATACTCTGTTCATTCCTTATTAGCAGACGTTGAGTCTATTTTTGCTTATCAGTCCAGATTCATCACAAGAATTCGACATGCGGGCCCCCAAAGGCTGCGGACTAACACATTCAATTCGCAGACCACCCGGCAATTTAGCACGACCATTTCCGCGTCGCTATTGACGCGGTACACCAACTGGCTAACCACTTGCCGCAGGTCTCTAGCCGTTCAGAATTGAGAGCGTTAGAGTTTAAGGAGGACAGCACCGATGAAGATCGCATCAACGCGAAAATGGAAAGGCAAATAGGGGTCCTTTCCTTAGGATCCGAAACCGATTCTCATGTTTTTTCCTTGATCCCTGCAGCACTAAATACATTTGCTTCGATTCTAATTAGCTACCTTTTGAACGATCTGCTTCTAAATTTATATTAAGTCTCTATTTCGTCATGCCTTTATGACAGTCACGGTCACGATGCAGTATTCGTTACGTCTAGGAGTACCGTTAGCCTACCAAGGTGCTCATGAGCACTTTTGTAGAGCTCCTTTTCCGGGAATGTTTGTATGGGTCACAATTTTTGTTACCAATCATCTTGCCTATTCGTACACATAAAGGACGAATTCACGCTGGAAAGGCAACCCATTTCAAATTAACTTAAGTGGTACACGAAAGAAGGAAGAACCATGAGAAACGGCCCAGAACCCGAGAAATGGGACCCCTTCCTTGCCCGTTGATTTGAGCATTGATGCGACTCTCATCACTACCTATCTAATCACTCGCCACGTATAGACCTGCGGCGAGTGATCAGATGATCGGTGGGCGTGCCTGTTAAGCCTCAATCTTGGCCCACCGCGCCAAGGTCGCCGAGGTCAATCTCCTTCGGTGCCAATTGGTAGGCGCTCAACTCTGGTGCCACGACCGACCAAGGGTCGTTCGAGGTCAATCCCTGTCAGAGGTGGCCAATTGCGCCTGGCCAATCCGCACCCTGTAGAGGATCCGAGGGTCCTTTCAAGCTAGTGTGAATTACTCCTTCTTCGACCTCATTCTATCGTGAATTTAGATCCTTTACAGTTGGGGCATAAAACCGATTCGCTTCTCGGTGACTTTCCTCCTATTAAAAAGGATGTGGACGTTATTTTATTTCGATTACGCCAAAGCTTTCGACAGAGTAAATCACACCAAACTCTTGGTTAAGTTAAACCATATTGGCATACATCCAAGGATTGTATCGTGGATTGATTCCTTTCTGCGTTTCCGTTCGTTTCAAGTACGAGTCAGAAACAATTTTTCCAGTGTCAGGTCGGCTCCTAGCGGGGTTCCACAGGGGGGTGTCTTGTCACCTGTGTTGTTTTCTATTTACACCTACGACCTCCCACAAGTGGTGGAGGACATAGGCGTTAAATGCAAAATTTTTGCTGATGATTTAAAAATCTACAGGTCACTTGTAAGTGAAACGGACTCTGCATTGATTCAAAAGGCCATTGATGCAGTTTTGGACTGGTCAAAAATGTGGGAGCTACCACTAGCGTCCGAGAAGACATTGGTGCTACACTTAGGGAAAAGTCAACCCAGCCATAGTTACCACATCGGGGACTTTGTGCTCAAAAATGTTGGTGAAGTTAGAGATTTGGGCTTTATTGTTGATGAAAGCTCTGCTTCGACTCCCACTGTAGGTATATAACCAACAAAGCGGAATCCAGGCTTTTCCAATTGCTGAGGAGTTTTTATACCAAAGACCCGTGCCTCCTTATTAAGGCTTACAAATCTTTCATTCGCCCCATATTGGAGTACGGTACAACTATTTTCTATCCGCAGACCAAGAAGTCTATCTCAAGACTAGATGCCATTCAAATATCTGGGTACGGCAACGAAGAAGTCCTGGGATTTCTTAAAGTCTTGACAAACGGCTTGGCATTAACCTGGGGCGGGAGGAAATTTTTTTTAAAGCTATTATACAGGAATGGTAACATCCCTTCATATTTCCGAGTCTCACCTCCTGCAGGCCTTTTGGAGCCTGGAAAATGCCATAAGTTTCTACCCATGTACGCCACTGACTTCTTTGCGAATTTTGTATGGGACACACAGCGAGCGAAGCCTGCCGCAAAATATGCTCTGTGGAAGTAGGGGGAGTGGTAAGTGAAAAAACCTGCCAACTTTGGTTCAGAAGGCTCCGCGAAGGAAACTACAACCTCGAAGATGGACGCCCAACGAAAGTTAATTTCGAACGTTTGGAGCTGTTACTTCAAGACTTTCCGCATGCAAGCGCCATGGAGCTGGCAAAGGAGATGCACTGCTTCAACATGGCCACAGGTCGTGTTCATCACATGCTGGAAAAAGTTGAGAAACTTGGTCGATTGATCCCTCATGAGCTGACAGAGCATTGCAAGAAAAGAGGTATCGGGGTGTGCGGAGGTTTTCTTGCAAGGAGTCGCCGTTTCGACTGGTTGGATAATGTAATTACTGGAGATGAAAGGTGGGGGCTCTACCTATGTCATACCAGAAGAAGACAGTGAATGGGTGCGAACCAGAAGCCAGAGCCTGTTCCAAAGCAGGAGGTTCATCCCAAGAAAGTTCCTCTGTCAGTTTGGTGGAGAGTTCGGGGAACACGTCATTACGAGATGCCAGACAATACCATCGTCGACGCCGAGGTGTACTGCTCACAACCACGAAGGCTCGCAGTTGAAGTCGCGAAACTTCGCCCTGAGATGGACGAAGTTTTTCTTCTTCATGACAACGCGTGACCCCATGTTGCAAGGGTAACCCAGGACACATTGGCGGAACTTGGATCTGCGGTTTCACCCCATCCTCCATATTCGCCAGGTCTTGCACCTACGGATTACCACCCACTCCTTTCCCTGGCTCACTTCTCAAAGGATAAAAACTACGACAACTTTCAATAGCTTGAAAGCGGACATGGGCACTTCTTCGACTCGAAGCCTGCCGAATTTTGAAGGAGAGGCATTTGTTTCCTTGTCGACCGATGGCGGACTGGTGTAAGTGCTTGTGGGAATTATTATTAGGAATAAAGTTCAATTCAAAGAAAGATACGAGTTTTTGAAATTGAGGGTCGAATCCGCCATTACTTTCGTTGCGACCTAATAGATTTCACTGTATGCCAAGTGTTAATCCGGGCCCTAGGTTTCATTTATAAGGCTATACCTAGGGGGGTCATAAGAAATAAAATGCTTGGCCTTGAGTCTCTTCAATGTAGGAGAAGGAAATTCGACCTTCTGACAGCATTTAAAATCATCACAGGGAGCATGGTTGTTGATAGGCAAGCTTTCATTACCCTTCTCCCGTCCACTACTAGAGGAGAGAGGCTAAAACCTCTTCTCCCTATGGCCAAGTCCTCCATAAGAGCAAAATTCTTCACTGTGCGGGCCTTCTCTGAGTTCGCTAAATTTAGCAAAAAGTACCCTTTCGCGAGTAGCACAGCTCAGCTGAAGTCATTTATGCACAAGTACTATGCTTAGGGCAATCAATATCTTTTTTCTACAATTTTATCAGGCCATATCTATTCTTGGGGCTGTTCACTTTCTTGCTTTCTCACTTTCTCAATTGGCCATTTCTTATCATTTCATTGTACAATGTCCATGGTTGTTGTGTTGATGTTACTTAATGTTTTTTTCATTGTTCTGTGTTATTAAATCCATGTGCTCAATGCGCATGCAATAAATCTAAATCTATCCGGAGAAGCAAGGAGAGGGAAACATGGGAAAAATGTCTTCCTTGCAGGTGACCTTCCCATCGCCCGCTGACCATAAACGCACTGCTCATTCATGCGCACCCTCTCTTGAGACTCATTCGTTGAGCAGAATCATTCTGTGCCATTGCTTCTGCAAACGTCAGCCATTATTGCATAACCTACCGCGTGCATCACTTGGTGATCCACACGAGCACAAGGAGGGGACTCGTTCCGCTTCACTTATTTTGGCATTTTTAAAACAATTGCTTCTCTGGTCTGTCGATCCAATGTAATGCATTATTGGCCATTGATTTGATGACTTGATGATGAGAAAATATGCGAAAAGGCGGCGAAATACGCGCACAACAGCGGTCCGTAGTGATAAAGCCTTGAGCCTTAGCTCATGGGGCTGAATAGGCCCTATTCAGCCCCATGAGCTAGGGCTGAAGTTTGTCGACCGCGTGGAACCTTGCAGCTCATTTTGGGAACAAATATTGAGTCTTTTTTGTTTTTCTTTTCCTTTCATTCAATAATTCCTCTTCCAAATCATGTAAAGGTTTTTCTTCCCTTGTTCGATAAGATTCTTAAAACGTTTACTGAAGTCCCACGCTGCCGCAAAACGTTAAACATGCTCGGTCTAAAGGGCTCTTGGTCACAAAATGCCTTATCAGGGCAGAATTGATTCAGTGAAAGAACATGTGGCTAGAAAAGCCGTTTTACTTCCAGAGTCGACTTCTGTAAAACAGCTGGAAGAGAAGATTGACGAGATGGCAGCGAGACTGCGTGACGATGAAGAACGAGAGCAGAAATTCAAGGATAGGATGGCGGTTCTTGAAAAGGTTTCTTTTTCTCATTACACAGAGATTAGAGGTCGAATTGTCGATTCGTTTCTATGGCAACACCTTTCAGGAGAACTTCAACTTGAACATATCAAGAGAGAAAGCTTCCAATAGACTAGCCGAGGAACAGAAGAAAATTGTTGGTGAGTAGCTCATTGAATTGCCTCTCAAGCCTCCCTTTTTCGCAAAGTTTGACACCACCTGTTTCAGAATTAGAGCAGAAGATTCGAGAGTTGAACAAGGGAATACAGAGTGCGCAGCTCAAAGCTCGAAGTGAACAGCAGCGAAGCAGTGAAAAGAATGGAAAACTTCAAAGTCTCACCAACAAGGTTACTCCCAAAGAAAATTTCGTCTGGACCTCCACCGTCAAAATTCAAAGTTATAAGTTCAAACTATAGACAGACCTTTCCAGGTTAGAGAGCTGGAGGTTCAGCTTGCTGATAAAACTGCTCGGAGCGACGTGGATAGCGTAATTGTGAAGAAAATGGAATCAGGTGGCCAGGCATTAGCGCAGGAGCTTGACAGACAAAAGCAAACGGTAAGGCGGAAAATTGAGTGGACGACTGCGTCGGAGAAAATTCAGTGCGGCTTTCTAGAATGCTGAGCTGACTAATCAGAATGAAGAGCTGCGTGGAACGTGCAAAGCTCTTGAGGAAGAGCTACTGACTACTAGGGCTGCACTGGAAAAGAAGACAAGCGTTTCGAAACAGGCAATGACCGATCTGCTGAACAACTACAAGGATTCTGAACGCAAGTCTATGGAAAGAGCGACCGAATGCGAGCAGCTCAAAGCTCAACTGCAATCTGTCAGGTCAGAGAGCTATCGATCCTTTCGGGAGATTTTTGCTTCCAACTCAGCAATTTCTTTAACCCTCACTCAAGTCAGAGTTTAGTGCGAAACTGGAACGTATCGAAAAGCGCCGAAGTGACTTGGAGGCACGCGTTGAGGAAAGCGAGCTGAGGAATGCTGACTTGATCAAGAAAATACATCAGTATGAGCGAAGTGCTAGAATGGCGCTGAATGTAGCCGGTATGTTCGATCGCTCGTGCCTAGATTTCTCCGTAAATGTTCTCAGAATTGATGCCGCTCTTTTACATGAGGCACTGATTTGTTCTAATTTAGCCCTGAAAGTTATTGGGAGTAACACACCTAGTAAACTGGTTTAATTACAGGCACACCAACTGCACTCCGTGGTGGTCAGTCCATCGTTGATATTCCCGAGAGCAGCAGGATCATCAGGTAATCCTAGTGGAGTCATCTTTGCCATACTGCGTTAGTGTACCAGATAAAACCCTAGCTTGAGTAGTCAGGTTTCGACATTAGTCGTCTTCGCTGATATCCTGAGCATTGTTCGAACTCTGAGTTGCAAAGCATCCCACAAGGTTGAAAATGCTGAACAACGGCAAAATGATACCTTAGGTCCACCAGCAGCTCCAATCAGCGAACTATTCTGTAGGTCTTTTAGCCCGATGGCCGTTCAGTGGTGCATTGTGAAGGATTTAGGCGATTGAGGTCTGATGTTAGTCTAGTCCTCCCAGTAGGACTAAAATCTAGTATCACACTAGGCCCAGTCTTACACAGACAGAGTTTTCACAGAAACAGGCTGAGTTGCGGCACGGAGCTGTCAGCTGTCACAATGTTCAGTTGGCTTGAAAGGCTTTCTTTTGATTTTATTAGCCCATACAATTTCTGGTACCCAGAAAAAATGTCTGAAGCCCACAAAATGGGCAGACGGTGTAGTGCGAATCTGCGAATAGCGTCATCAAAATGGTACGCGGGTCGAATCCGGGGGAGCAAATCTGCTTACAAGGAAAGGATGGTAGGTCGAAGTGGCCGTATAAAATGAGATGTATACCACCTGATGCGTCTCTAGACGCTGATTCCAAATCTGCCTTCCAAATCTGCTAAACGGCTCTCCGAACGGAGTTATGAAGCGTAATAGCTCAGTGGTGATGGTCCGGGGTGGCAGGTAAAAGCTCGTAGGATCGGTTCCTTTGCAAATTGGTTGCTTTGCTTTTGTCTCTAGAAGTGTTGCGGACAAAAGCAAAGCAACAAACTTGCAAAGGAACCGATCCTACGAGCTTTTACCTGCCACCCCGGACCATCACCACTGAGCTATTACGCTTCATAACTCCGTTCGGAGAGCCGTTTAGCAGATTTGGAAGGCAGATTTGGAATCAGCGTCTAGAGACGCATCAGGTGGTATACATCTCATTTTATACGGCCACTTCGACCTACCATCCTTTCCTTGTTAGGCGAATTCATTTACCCTTCCGCATGATGATGTTTAACTGGTACCAGATCCAGCCTCGTCAATCAAGATAAGAGCACAAACTTGCTCATCGACTGACCCTGCAACTTAAAGGCAAAAGTCGGCTTGATTTGAGTTATCACGGCACTTGAAACTAAATGTAGAGGTGAAAATTCTACAATGAAAAAAAAACGTCAATTAGATCGAAAATAGGACCTTCATCTCCAACAACAGGGCAGACATAGCTCGGCGGCTTGTCCGAATCAATTTTCCATATTGCCAGCCATTGCTGGTTCCATGCCAGCAAAATTGCGATCCACCCGGCGATTGCCGATCTCTACTACCGCAACCATATCTCGCGGGCCAGCGGCGATGTTTACAAGAACCTTTTGTGAGGCCTCATACCGCGCGTCTCCGTATTGGACCGGAGGTCCCCATCTCTGTAGGTGCGTAACATGCACACAAGCAGGGTCAACCCTATGTTGCTACAAGTAGCAACGGGGGGTCGTTCTTGGATGGACCCGGAGGGTGGGGGGTCGTACTCTCTCGGTGGCCGGCAGTAGGATTTGTGGTAATCTCCCTACTGATCATAACCATGTTTCAGGAAGAGCATGAGAAAGGAAGACTTGCAGAAACAGCAGCTGCAAGACATGTAGCATCGTTCAAAAAAGTGCTCCCACCATGACATGGGTCCACCCACGAAACCACATTTGAAACTAAAGTGTAGCTGGAGTATTGCCTAAGACAACATGGACAATAGTCACCACATTACGTTTACGCAAGATAATTGATGCTAGAGCATCTGTAAGCCGCTTCCTTCTGAATGAGCTTTTCAAATGAGTCAGCGAATCAGGAGTGCGACCGAGGCGTGGCGCACACCAAGGCAGGGGGAAATCAGTGCAAGCGCATGCACAAAGCATTCTAACACATCCTATGGTCAGCACGATATCTTTTCCCTGGACGTTGCGGCCAGTGAAACCTAAAAAAACCGCTTTCTTAAGAGAATGGCTCGGAGAATGCCCCTCAAAAAAATGTAGCAACGGGACTAATTTTTGAATTACTCACTTTTAAGAACCGTTTGGGTACTTTTTGAAAGCTTGAATCCTGTAGTTTCTCATACCGGGTTCAGCTTCCCAAATAAATGAGTTTGAAGGAAGTTATGGTCGTTTAAAGGTTGAAAAGTCGCGGTTTCAGAAAAATAGTTCCGCGAACCCCCCTAAAATGTAGCAACGGGACTAATTTTTGAATTACTCACTTTTAAAAACGTTTGGGTACTTTTAGAAAGCTTGAATCCTGTAGTTTCTCATACCGGGTTCAGCTTCCCAAATAAATGAGTTTGAAGGAAGTTATGATCGTTTAAAGGTTGAAAAGTCGCGTTTGCACAGAAAAAAGTTCCAACGTGCTAAATTTTTACTAAATTAGCTTTCGATGAATTTTCAGATATGATTGGAGAGAGAATGATTTGAATTTTTTAAATCAAATAACTCCGGCGCAAAAGCTCGAATATGAAGAAAGTTATAGCCCGAAAAAGAGGAAGGTGAAATTGTAGTGCAACTCATTTCCTGCTCAATAACTTAATTATTTCAGATTGTTTAAGAACAAATCCGCTCCACTTGAGAAGGATGACCCTTGCTGATCCAAAATCCACCTCCGTCTTGCGAGAAACCTGAAATTTTCCAAGGAAAAGTTCCTATACTTCTCGATTTCCCATTTCGACACCTGCTCCCATTCAACAAACGCGCCCCATTGCAGCACCCAGCGCGCGATTCAATACATTCGAAACCTGTCAACACGCGTTTCCACTACCTTCTCGGCATTCTCAATCATTTCCCCCACTTCTCCATAATATGACGCCACAACCCACCCGTTTTCTCCAGCGGAGAATGCTTAATGACGTACTCTGAATCTCCTATGAAAACTCACCAGTAGGATTTTGGGCACAATGTGGCTGGGGGGACACTCTGTAGAAACGTCTCTGGGACTAAGCCTGCGCATTTTGTTTAGTCCTGATCTCGTGAAGTTTGAAATGTTCTATTATTTTATACTTTTCCAGGGTGAAAAGAAACCTCATTATAGAGATAAAAGGAATAAAAAATTGGTATGAATTGTGTCTTCATAAAAATTAGACACAGGGGGGTCGTACCAAATCGCCCATGGAGGGGGGGTCGTAAAAAAATCCAGAATGTAGCAACGATAGGATCGACCTGCACAGAAGTGATTCAAGGGATTGGTTTGGTCTAGTAATCCCGACCTTTGCCTTTAATGTAGGAGCAATCGTACGCAGACAATTCTACTATTTTGAACGGAAGTGGAATGCCTTGGCGCACTCCGAAGAAGCTTGCTGGAAGGAGAATGCTCTTCCTTTTCAATCCGTTAGAGCAAATCATAAAATCCCGACGAATGGCGCATGCGACTTTAGGTAGAGAATGTCTTTTTCCAGGATATGGAGATTCATTCTCCATGCTCCGTACGACATCCAGCTCACACGATCTTTCCATCAGAACATCGCCAGAGAAGAGCCGTGAGTTCTCTCCACCTACCCTCCTGATGCGTTTTGAGGCGTATCTGTTCAGGTTCATTTCACCGAGCACGGCCATGATAAGCTGATGGATATCAGTTCATCCATGGAGATTACCCTTCGATTCCTCAAAGAACGAATCGAACAACTAGAAAGGGACAAGGTTAGTATGGAAGAAGGCTGTTCTTTCAGCATAGCTAACAAAATTTCGTCTTTAGGCTGACCTCACCAACGATCTGAAAGCGCAGCAAGAAGAAATGCAAAAGAACCTGGTCAAGACGAAAGAGGCAGTGGGCAGCATGCAAGCGTTGGAAAGAAGAGTTCAGGACCTGCAAAATGGTTGGTGTTAACAGGCAGTGATAGAAATGTTGTCACTGTGGCAATGTTGATTCAACCTCAATTGAGATTTCACTGAGCCGATTCGACTGTCTTAATTTCAGCGATTGTTAAGCTGAGAGTCCGGTTTTCAATCTTCGCTTTTTTCATTGCAGCATTGCATTTTATTTGTGCATCGTAATGTGGGGTTATTTTTTCTGCGTCGTGATGCTGTTAGTGAGCTTCGGGTATGATACCTTAAAGGCATGGGTCGGGATCGAATTGGTGTGTTATTTTGTTCGAAAATTATATAAGAAGTGCAATGAGGAAGTTAGTGAGGAGAAAAAGCAAAAAGCACCATAGAAAACACTGAAATTTCCCTTGTGAGGTCGGCCGTGGTATGACGAGAGACACAGCGCCGAGGAGAGGGTAAGCGAGAGAGCACGGCGTACGCGAGAGGGCGCAGACTTCACGTGTCGGCAGCACACAATTCAAGGCCTTGGCGCCGTCGCCTCACACTTTTGAGTGGTGATAGTGTCGCACCTCATGCGCTTCTTGACACTTTTCTCACTCTAGGAGGACTGGCTCCCACTCCCGACCCGTGGCTTTAACCAGTTTTCTGCGCTCCTCTCAAAGAGGCTAGTTTGTACCCAGTTGTCCATTTGGTATGCTGCTGATATGTTAATGATACCAGAGCTTGTATTCGCTCTTGCACTTCAAACTGGTGGTGGTGCCGTTACATAATTTATGACGGTGTAGTGAATCCGCCATCGAATTACGCGACGAGTTTCTCCGTCGGGCTGAAGACAAGGGCCGTATCTATCCTTCCCCAGGAAGAGGGACGAAATCCCTTTTAAGTTCCATTTGCCTTCTCAACCGGATTGCTCTAAGAAAGGGCTCATGTGTATTGCATGTGTGTAAAAGTAAACATCATGTCTAACTAAAGTAAAGGCAAGATATCTTTGGACAACATAAATTACAAGACTTTGACATCAACCTAGCCTAGGGACAAGAATAAGGATATCTGTCCAAGGCTCCACCTGGTAAATAGTCCTCTCACCTTTCCATATAATTTCGCGTTGTCAAAACCTAGAATAATATAAGCGGCAGGTTTTCCTGTCAGAAACATTCTACTCTACAAAGAGACAAAATCGCTAGCGCAAATACAATGGAAAATAATTTTCACCACTTCTCAATCAAGAAACGTCATTGAGTCAACTTGGCCCCGCTAGAGATGGTATAATTCCAAACACGTCATGAAATGCTGAGCTTGAATATGCTTTCATTATCAGCAACAACGATCCTTTGAACTCAGTTTATGAAGCCGAAAATCACAGCAGTCTCGCTTCTCAGCTCATAGGCAGGAGATTTTCCTTTTGAGAAAACGTTTTCATTAGGAAGTACAAGTGCTCATCTTTGCTAAAGACCTACCATTACGACTTCTTGCTTTTTATTGGAACTGCTATCGCTGCCAACCCATTACGATTTACAACTAACCATAGGTTCAGGAAGCATATAATACTTGGAGGACCGGCATTTTTACCATTTGCGCGCACGTGATAACTTCATGAAGTGCCTTACCAATACGAAGATTCGGCATATTAAAACCGTTTATGCCCACTTCGAGAACTGAGCCGGGTTTTTATCGAAATTTGTCCATGATGGTGGATTTGGCTAGAAACTTGCCTTCAAGGGTAATTCGACCCGTAGAACACGAAAATCCACATTCGTTTACCGCTAGAACGACTTGGCGCTCGCGCTAGAAGAGGTTCCAGAAGGCACCTAACGAAGCATCTCAGGACCACCACATTTACGAAACTGTCTCTTGAGGACTTGACCCGTCAACATGCAAATCCGTTAGTTCGATGCGTGTGAACCTGTAGTCCATGCGCTCCTGCTCCGCGCAAAACCAGTTAGTGGAATAACGTGTCTGCACGGTCAATTACTTCTTGAAACTAATTTCTAGCCTAATCACACCATCATGACGAATTTTGTGATCAAAAGCCGGCCTCCATTCCTGGAATGGGGCAGTTAAAGCGTAAATATGCCGAAAACTTAATCACCTGTATTGCAAAAGTGTGAGCTAAAACAGTCTGCGCACTGCAGCCCACATGTAAGCTGCATGACCTTGATGTTAAAAGATACAGGAGTTAGCTCTCTCTAAGCTCAGCGTCTCATGCCTGGGCCAGCTTGACTTACATATCCTGATCTTCTTGGTCACAGTTAATAACCACATAATAAACCGAACACCACATTGCACACAAGTCATATGTGGATTCTCTAACTCCCAGTTGAAGTTAGTGTGACTGAGATTTTAGATTTTTCTTGATATGCACTTGTTTACGAGTACACACTGGATCCACATTTCAACTCGTTCTCTTGAACTTAGCTAACACACCTTTCCTCTAGCCCGTGCGTCCTTTTACTCTAGTAGCAAAACTGCACTTATAGGCCAAACACGTGACAAGGTATATGAGGTCTTACCGTAAGTGTTAGCCTCATTAAATGGTGCCCTCAGTGTGTATATTGTAGCACAACTTGCCCGTACATAGAGAGATGCAGTCGAATCAGCCTGGGCAAGGTGCTTGCCTAAATTCTCATTCAAAATCTGTGTAACTCGTATGGTGGACTGCGGCCAAAATCAGCAGTTAACAATCCAAAATGAGTCAAAAATGTATATTTTCTCTACCGTCTTTACTGAATGCTATTTCTACACGGCTATCCTGATCACCCACAGCTTGCTTTCATTGCATACAACCTGTACTGTGACATGTGAAGGGAAACTTTGGTCACAATTTAGAACGCTCAAGCGACATAAAAGAGCAGCAGGTTTAAACAGGTTCTCATCATTTCTTGGCCCCTGCATCCCAGTTGCCCTTCACGACATTCACTGTTTTCATCTGTGTTACAGTTATCAGTGGTGGATCAAAACTTCCCAACAATTTGATGGCGTTCAAGTTGGTTTTTTGCCTGAGTGACTAACTTTTTCAGTCAATTTGGATCATTAACCGATCGAGTGTCTTATAAAAACATTCAGAATTGTTGAGCATGAAGTTGTAACACTTACAGAGAAAGAGAACCTCGAATCTCGTTTGGCTACTCAACGACAACTATATGTATCGAACGAAGAGACAATGCGTGCGAAGGAACTGGAACATCGAAGCCTGAAGGCAAAGATCACCAGTGCTGAGCTGCATCTGCGCGAGAAAGACAGCAAGATAAGTCAAATGACGGTAAGTTTGTGCATGGTGCTGTTCTGCGATTGCAAAAGGTCATCGGCTCCGTTTCAGGGTCAATTGGAGGCGTTGCGACTGGAAATATCCCAGATGGCTGGCGATCGGCAAAGGATTATGTCTTCTGCAAAGGCGACTGAACACGAGATGAAATCACTCGAAGACAGCTCTCATGCCATCCGGACCGAACGCGATCAGCTTGCTGCTCGTTTGGCCGATGTGAACGTGGAACTCAAGGTAATCACTTTAACACGTTGACGACCGCCGTTATGCGCGCACTGCTTCAACATTTTTCGTATTCTCTCATCAATAGGCATTAATCCTTCAGCGTTTTCATTATCAGTAATGAAAAAATGTTTTTCGGATCCAATAATGTACATGGACCGTTGTAACAGAAGGAAAAGATGTCTACTCCATGTGAAAGTGTGGTATGACATCATACCACACTTTCGTCAACGTGTTAAATGTAGACTGAAGAAGGAACAGACTATAAATATACTAATATTCATTGAGAAATTATTTTAATCAAGTTATTGTAGTTATGACGGTACCAGCATTGCTTTTGCTACAAGCGCATATGCAACTTCTATAGCAACAGCCTAGGCCGTGTCTTCACTTCACACTCCCAACCGTCACGATTTACATCTTCTGCATGACAATGTGAATGACGGGTTCATAGTGATTAGCTTTTCATCAAGTCAGAGTGTAGCAAGATTGAAGGAGAACTTCCGTCAGAGTCACATCCCGATACATTCCCTTACGCGAGAACTATTCGCATGAAATAAGGGCCATCACAAAAAGCCTTTGAAAGGCAGGTGATACGACAAATTGAAATCGAAATAAGAGAAACGTATGTATTCTGAAGGGAGGCAGGTCAATGCTCGTCCAGTGAAGAGGGGGCATTTGCCGCATTGACTGGTCGTCCAACAGTAATTCTATTCTATAAGTAATTTTTCTTCTTCGCAAGGGAGAGAAGCTCCGAGGTGCGTGGGAGGTGAACGTGAAACGGCTCACTCACCTCGGAGAAGTCGGATTACTCCAGGCGAATCTAACTGTGCATTGCAATGCCTTTTCCTCTGTTGGATGAACTCCGGCAAGTACCGAAGGGAGCAGGATTAGACGCTTTCCGCTGCGAAAGATGTGCCTGTAGCGCCCTAACAAGACATTACCCTCGACGATGAGTTCTTGGCGTCTGCTCCACCTACCAGTAACCCTCACCAACGGACTCTTCTCGTTTTAGCTGACAGTGAAAGGCACAGCACAGCGGTCACGTTGACACCGTTTTCGCCGATAAGAGCTTCCCCCTTCCCTTCACGTGCAGAACAAAAAGGCAAATAAGGGTCTTTTTTGCAAGTTCTAGGCCATATCCCTTTGATTTCTTCACTGCTGCACCTTCTAGCACGTCTGAGTTCATTCCAAAGCGCGGCCATTTACTGTACCTCTTGTCTTTAGGCTTTTTTCGTTTGAAAACGGTCTCATTCAGTGAGCAATGTTTACTTTTTCATGCTCAGCGCATAAGTCGTAATCGACTGGCTTCTGTTTTCCTTTTCAAGAACTGCTTGGAATATTGTCTACCTAATCAATTTATTCTGCATTCTGAACGATATTTTCGTTGCTCACGGCTTTCCGAAGCATTATTCTGATTTTAGAACACACAAGGTCGTCTAAATGACGCGCTCTCGGAACTGGAACAGGTGAAGAGACTTCTCGAAGATTCTCGACGTCAACACCAGAAACAAAAGGAACAGGTCGAGAACAGACTATTGGCGTGAACTCTCTGCGGCCCGGGTGTGGCGGAGTTTCTATCACGACATGTCAAACCAGAAAACCACAAAGGAACAAGGTCGAGAGAGCTTATGTATGAACAGGAAAAGCAACTGTGGATAGCAACCGTGTGCAGGGGTTCTCTATCAGCTACTATAAGTTTGAGGCGGCTTTCTAATTGCTGAACTTACACACGCGCTTTGTTGTACGACTGAACAGCAGAAGTTGGGTTCGCGATAGGTTGATAGTCGTCAAATTAGCATTGCTCTAAAACTCCCTTGGAACCCGAGAAGAGAAAAGACAACTTTCCAGGCTGTCACTGCGAAAAAGACCTCGGAAGACTATCACAAATCAGTTTATGAGGAGAAAATAACACAACTCCAACACAATCAAGAATCGCTGTTGGCTCGGAACGACGCTCTTGTTGCTGAAATTGATCGACTCAGGTAAGCACAGTACTATCTAGGACTGGTGCAAAAAGTATTTTTAGTTCAGTTTGGCCTAAAGTGACAATAATCCAGTCAACATGTCTATCTCACTAAATGTTCAATGAATTATCGTCATTCAGTAACTTATTGTTGACTGTTGATTGTCGACTAGCAAGCTGTTAGGCATAGGAGTATTGAGGCAACAACTCTAGATCAAATTAGTGGGGTAGCAGCCGTCGCTAACGAAATTGTGGATGCCGAGTTGACTGAGAATGAAAAAAGAGGCAAAGAAACCGCCAATAGATTTCTTAGACAAGGACTATTTCGCTTCTCCCCTGAGATCAGCGAGGGCGTATACGGACGAGTTGTCTGAATCTGCTTGCTCCATGGCTCCACTAACCCGCGCATATTTGAATTAGCCACTATTTCGTAATCCACGTTGCGTACCATGGGTGTGCACGAGGTATCTCGTCCATTAGCTCACATTAGCCGTCATTAGCTCACTTTGTAAGGCCCTAGCGCCATTTTCGCGCACTTTCGAACCGCGTTAATGGCACAACTATGGTTCTTGCGTGCTATTTTTTCCTACCCACAGAACAGATTATTCGACACGACCTCATCTGGGGTTGTTGCTTTATAACTAACTGCTCAAGAAAAATGCCCAGGTTTCGGGAAAGGCGAGTTAGAGAAAATACCTGTTAACATTGTTGTTGTATTCGACCCATTTCAAGTCAGATGAGCTCATTTGCAGGCATGAACAACGGGATTCCGCCAATCGCGTGAGCCTTCTGAACCAGAAATTAGCGGAATGCGAGCGATCTCTGGAGAGCACGAATCAGATAAAGAATACCCTCTCGCAGCAGGTTCTTGGCCTGCAGAAGGCCGAGTCAGACTGGAGTAAACTCGAACGCGAAATGAGGGAAGAGCTGGTGGTGCTGCGCAAAGGTAGGGGACTGATTTCGCTCTGTGATTCTTCTGACGTGATAGTTTTCCAACTCAGCACCTTCAGATAGGTTAGTGCTCACATCTGAAGTGGAGGAGCTCAAGCGAAAGCTGCTACGAGCAGAAGTGGAGAAGAAGGAAGTTGACGGGTTCCG